TACGTTAGGAATAACTCTACCACAGTCTATCTTAATACCGGATTGTTGTAGGTCGAGTGATCCAGGAAAAGCAAAGTACAGCTTTCCTGTTTTTGCTTTCACTGGAGTATCCATGTAACATTTCCCTTCATACGTATGATTGTTATAAATGTGTTCTACTTCTATGGGAACACACGTATGAATGTTAAGAATGTCTCGGTTCACAAAATGTGCCGAGATATCATTGCGTTGCAGCAATGATCTTATTCCAACCGTAGGATTAATGCGTAATATGGCCTGCCAATGCTTAATGAATTCATTTTGTGTATGACATATGTGTTCGTACACTCTATGAAATTCGGATATCAGATCTTTTCTCATAGACTGAAATCCATAGTGCATTGCTGTCCTTTGGCGATTCATAGCTATATTCCTTTCAGAATCTAGCTCTTTTTCTACCAAACGGATAGCGTAAGGAATAGGCCCTTGTGTTATTTTTACTGGTGGCAATGTAGTAGTCCACGGTGTTGGAATCGACTGAGGTCGTGCTACTTCATGTCTTTGTTCTAGACGAACCGGAGGAGGTCTAGGACGTGAAGTAGTCTGAACGAGAGGTTGAGGAGCAAGAGTGATAGGAGCAACCTTAAGATCCTTCATCTTTGCTTCGATGAAATATTTTCGCATCTGATGTTCCTGAGATGTAGAAGGAACAATAATCTCATATGACTCATCATAGAAAGATTTTGGTACTTTTAAACCATACTTAGCCTCCCTGTTATAGAATAACGTTGGGTAATGTGGAAGCTTAGCCAGATTCTTAAAAAAAGTTACATTTTCATTTTGATGTAACACGCGTTCAATATATTCATTCTCAGCATTGATGGAAGATGCTGTGGCTCCACCATCTTGAACAATCTTAGTGATGGTGGTCATGAGTTTCTCAGCAACCTCTAGTTGTTTCCGACTCATCGCCGAAGTCCTCAACGAGTAAACTAACGGAGGGAAAAACGCAGATAGAATGTCAGTTTGGCTGGGAACGTAATCGTTGTTCCACAGTCTTGCTGGGGTCAAGCTGAATTCAAGTGCCAAATCACGAAGGAATGCAATCATGGATGATTGTCTCTTCTCTGCTTGTGCAATGAAATCAACAGCCAAGATGCGCTGTCCTACCTGACGAATAAGTTCATCTGTAGGAATGATTTGAATCGCTTGATTTGTAACAATCTCCATTTCTTTTAAAGCGAACGCATGAATAACGGCAAGGTTAACATCCACGTAATCCCACTGCTTAACCAAATTTCGGACATGATCGTGGCTAACGTTCAAGTGTCTTAACCTAGCAGTCATCATGGGATCGAATCGGAACAACCGATCCACTGTATATGAAGGAATGTTAGCCCTCCGTATCACATACTTTTTATAAAGTTCGATAGATCCTAAAGGATCTAGCGTTCTTCGTAAGTATGGGTATGCTATGAAATTTTGATATTCGCGTTCAAACTCAATTATAACAGGTCCCTCCTCAATACTGCGTTTCTTTCTTTGCTGTTTCTGCACCTCCATCTGTGCCAAATGTTTCATCATGATTGATATAGATGGAATAGGAGGCAAATTGGGAAACGTGAGGAGTACCTTTGTTGTAGTTACGAATGGAGTGACGTTAAAACAAGAAAGCTGTTGATCAATGACTGATTCATTCTTGAAAATGAAAGCACTATCCAAGGAGTCGATGAGAATAATATCTCTGCTCAAGATTCCACGAAACGGACCACTATGACGATACTCACAATTACGATTGTGTTCAGGTACCGTCCAAATAACCGTAGCATTCGGATCTATGCAATGACCATGTTGAATCTTACACTTTTCTGTATTGAGGATTAGCTCAGATACTATGTAATCTTCGCGGAGTTTGGTTATGATTCCTCTTTGAAGAGAGAATCTGTGTTTAGTTGCACAACCTTTGTTCCAAAAGGAACGACTTCCGTATGATGGCATTGCCGTTTGAAAGAGATTTTGAGAAGTATATTCGAATGGAACGTTATCGAGGACACGGTCTTTTAGAATC